GTGGGAAATGGTTCCAGTGGTTCATTACCCTCCCTGTTAAAAATTCACACTTTATTTCCTGTCAGAATTTGTCTAGCTTCAGCTTTCAGTAACTGGATCATGTTAGACCAGGGGTGGGCAAACTTTTTGGCCTGAGGGCCACATCGGGGCTTCTGAAACTGTATGGAGGGCCGGGTAGGGAGGGCTGTGCCTCCCCAAACACCCTGGCCCCCGCCCCCCCCCCCCCGCCCCCCCCCCCCCCCCGGACCCCAACCACATAACTTCCCCCCAGGACCCCGCCCCCTATCCAATCCCCCTGTCCCCTGACTGCCCTGACCCCTATCCATACCCCCTGACAGGCCCCCCGGGACTCCCACGCCTATCCAACCACCCCCTGTCACCTGACTGCCCCCGGAACCCCATGCCCCTTATCTAGTCCCCCGCCCCCTTACCATGCCGCTCAGAGCACCAGGATTGGCAGCCGTGCCGCCCGGCCAGAGCCAGCCACACCGCCGTGCAGTCTAGAGCACTGGGGCAGGCTGGAGGCTCTCGCAGCCACGCTGCCATGCAGGAGCTCGCTGCCCAGAGCACTGGCGGCACGGCGAGCTGAGGCTGCAGGGGAAGGGGGGACAGCGGGGCAGGAGCCGGGGGCTAGCCTCTCCGGCCGGGAGCTCAAAGGCTGGGCAGGAGGATCCCGCGGGCCGGGTGTGGTCCATGAGGTGTAGTTTGCCCACCTCTGTGTTAGACCTTCCTCTGCTAGATTGAAGAGCCCATTATTAAATATCTGTTCCCCATATAGGTACTTATAGACTGATCAAGTCACCCCTTAAACTTCTCTTTGTGAAGCAAAATAGGTTGAGATTGCAAGTTTGATAAAGGTAACTGCATAGCTGTAATACGTAGATTTTTGTAAGGTTTTTGGCTAAGTAGCATACAACATTCTGATAAACTAGCACTGTATGGTATCAGTAGAATACGTGTCCTCTGAAAACGTACAGAGAGAGGCAACAAAATGACGAGGGGTATGGAACAGCTTCCATATGAGGAGAGATTACAAAGACTGAGACTGAAAGAGTTAGAAAAGAGACGACTAAGGGGGGGTATAACAGAGGGCTATAAAATCACGAATGGTGCAGAGAACATGAATAAGGAAGTGTTATTTACCACTTCGTATAACACAAGAACTAGGGGTCACCCAATGAAATGAATAGGCAGCAGGCTTAAAATAAAAGGAAGTATTTCTTCACACAACGCACAGTCAACCAGTGGAACTCCTTGCTTGGATTGTTGTGAAGGCCAAAAGACTAACTGAAGTCAAAAAAGAATGAGAAGTTCCTGGAGGGCAGGTCCATCAATGGCTATTGGCCAAGATGGTCACGGATGAAACCCCATGCTCTGGGTGTCCCTAGCCTCTGTTTGCCAGAAGCTGGGACTGTCCGACAGGGATGGATCACTTGATGATTCCTTGTTCTGTTCACTCCCTCTGGGGCACCTGGCATTGGCCACTGTCGGAAGACAGAACGCTGGGCTAGATGGACCATTAGTCTGCCCCAGGATGGCCGTTCTTATGTTAAATGAACTAACAGCGGGCTAAGTGAGAGATCTGCGAAAGTAGTTGTGAGTGGGGAAACCATCCTTAAATGGGGGAGTCTGGTGGTGTTCCTCAGGGATCAGTGCTAGGCCTGACGCTATTCAACTCTTTCCTCAAGGACCCGCGAGAGTAATAAGATCACTGCTAATAAAACTTGTGGCTGACACAAGGGTTGGCAGAGTGGTAAATAGTGCTGAGGACAGGCCAGTTGTACAGAGATCTGGATCGCTTGGTAAGCTGGGCCCATTCAAACAAAATGCAATCAAATGGGAAGTTACACATTTAGGAACCAGCAGTGCAGGCTGGGGGATTGTATCCTGGACAGCAGTGCCTTTGGAAAAGATCTAGGAATCCTAGGGGATGAGCAACTCAACAGAAGTCTGCTGTGCCAGAAAGCTGATGCGCTCCACCCCGGATGTATAAATGGGGAGTAGTGAGTAGGAGTGGGGAGGTGATTTTACCTCTAGCTACGGTATTGCTGAGATGAGCACTGGAACGCTGCATCCACATTTAAAAAGGATGTTGAAAAATTGGAGAGAAAAGAGCCACAAAAATGATTCACGGGCTGGAAAAAATGCCGTAAGGAGCTCGATCTATTTAGTTTACGGAAGAGTGAGAGGTGATTTGATCACAGTGTGTAAGGACTGTCACAGGAAAAAACACCAGGTGCTAAGGCGCTCTTTGATCTAGTAGGGTTGCGTCTGGAAGCTGGAGCAAGACAGTCAGGTGAGAAACTAAAAAACAAACAAACAGCACAGATGTTTAGCAGTGAAGGTGGTGAACCACTGGGACAGACTCCCCAGGGACATATAGAGTCTCCACCTACCTTTAAGTCTTCACATCCATAGAATCCTAGAATATCCGGGTTGGAAGAGAGACTTGTTTTAAACAACTATTTAAAATTAAATTTGAAATTGACAATCTATGTTAAGGCCTAAATTTACTGTAATCTATTAATCATTTAAACTCAATATGAAACAGTGTTAAGCTGTACACATTTTAAGGAAAGTCAAACCACTGAACTGGTGGGGTGGAATCTCTGGCTAAGGACTGGAAACCAGTTTGTTGAAGTGCTAGACCTGCTTTTGACAGCAGCAGCCTGTTTTGCAGGTGCAGAGAGAATATTGTTTTAATTTCAATCTATTCCTCCAGTTCAGTGACTAGCTCATTCAAAGGTAAGAAACCAATTGGGAGCTGAAAAAGCAGGAAAACTTTTTCCCTCTTCCCATCTACGAATAAAAACCAGGTGAGAGAGGATGAGATCTACTAGCTCTAAAATCCTGACTGTTTCTGGTCACCACATGCATCAGTTCAATTAACTAACTACAGATAATACGTCCTTTGTTTAACACCTGAGTTAGTTTTAAATACAACACATACATAAGGCAAACAATTGATCGAGGTGTCCATCACACTCAAGGTAGTTTTATTTAAACTAATAAAAAGATTAAAAATACTGTTTTGTGCATTTTAATTAAATTCCAAATTCTATCCAAATAGAGCTTGATCCAAATCACACTACAAATTTAACCTAGTAAATAAATGTGCCTTTCGCAATTTTCTAACATAATAAATCAGGAAAGGCGGGGTCTGTTCTGGGTCTGGCGTGGTGTCGTGGTTATAGACAATCTAGCCACCCCTGTGAATGTGGCACATGCATTGTGAGAGGCGGTGTGGCCAAGAGTTGAGCCTGTCCTATTTTAGTCCCTCTCACCTGCTGCTCATGCCTCACCCCTTCACTCCTGCCCGTGTGGAGGCTGCACTGTGTGACACTGACCAGGAGATGCTGTGGGGCTGGGGCTGGTTACTCATGTGCCCCCTACTCACTCCCACCATGGACGCACATGGGTCAGCTCCCTTGAGGGCTATTGGGCCTGGGCTTTCCATAGTCGTGCCTGCTGCTCCCCTTGTAGAGAAGAGGGGAAGTTGCTGGTCCCAGTGCCCCATAACCCAGAGAGACCCCCATCTCTGTGTCTGGTGAGGGATGGCCTGAGAGGCCCGGACTCACCCCATGTGCCTGGTGCTGGCTGGCTGCTTAAACAGAATCCATCCGGCAGGGAGCTCTGGAGAGCCACAGCCCACCCACCTGCTTCTTCCCACCCCTACCCCGACGGTGCAAGTGCGCCACATCCCCAGCGAGGGGCTGCCACTCAGACCCCTGACATTTCAGCTCCTTGCTCCTGACTCAGCTGGGCCCTTCCCAGTCTGTGTGGAAGGGGGACTCTGCTTCCTTCTGCTCGGGTGGGAGCAGGCCAGTGTCTCCTGCCTGGCCAGAGAGAGGGAGGGCACCCAGGGCTGAGCAGGCCGTGCCGTGCTTGGAGGCATATTGCATCCCATGCACCCGCAGGCTGCCTGCTCCCCCACCCTCCTCTCCTGGGGCGGGGGAAGGTTCCAAAGGCTGGAGCCGGCGTGGACTCTGGGGAGTGTGGCTGGGGGCGCAGAGGCGGGTGCCCCATGCTGGAGCTGGCCGGGTGGGTGACCGGCTCTCGTCTGTGTTCCAGGCCAGCATGTCGTCGCTGTCCGGCATGTCCCGTGGCAGGAAGGTGGCGCTGTCCGCGCTGGGCGTGCTGGCTGCCGGCGGCGCTGGGCTGGCCCTGGCTCTCCACACGGCTGTGAGTGCCAGTGACCTGCAGCTGCACCCTCCCAGCTACGCCTGGAGCCACAACGGCCTGCTGGCCTCCCTGGATCACAGCAGGTAGGTGGGGGGAGCGGATGGAGGGAGGGCAGCCCGGGGGTGAGCTGCCAGCCCCCTGCAGGGGGTCAGAAGCTGCATCCCTGGGGTAACAGGTCAGCCCCACGACTCTTGGCTCTCGCTGGCCCTTGGCTGATGTGCACGTTCCCCCAGGGAATGCTGGGGGCTTGGGGCCTGGCTCTGCTCCTCCAGCCGCCTCCCACTCAGAGCCCTGGGGAGCAGACAGGCAGAGGGGCTCACGGCCACCTCCCTCTTCCCAGTATCCGGCGCGGCTACCAGGTGTACAAGCAGGTGTGTGCCGCCTGCCACAGCATGGAGTACCTGGCCTTCCGCAATCTCATCGGCGTCTCCCACACCGAGGCTGAAGCCAAGGCCCTGGCCGAGGAGGTGAGACTGACTGTGGTGGGACTCTCCGGGGGGGGAGATCCACACCCCAGCTCTGGCAGCTGGCTCCTGCTGGCTGGTGTGTGCTGGAAGTGGGGGGAAGAGCTGGACTCGCTACCATGTGAGTGCCCTCCCAGGCCCTGGCTGAGGGGAGAAGGGCCTGGGTGATGGGGAGCTGGCCCCTCCCAGTCGTGGGCTGCCTGGGCCCCAGCCTAGTGCTCTGTGTCTGTGAGGCACAGGGGGTCCAGCCTGGTGCTCGGTCTCTGCGCCCTGACGGGGTGCGTTGGGCCCCTGGCCCCGGCTCAGAGCTTTCTTTGGGATGCGGGGGGGCCCTGGCCCCGGCTCAGAGCTTTCTGCGGGATGCGGGGGCCCCTGGCCCCGGCTCAGAGCTTTCTGCAGGATGCGGGGGGCCCCTGGGCCCAGCTCAGAGCTCTCTGCGGGATGCGGGGGCCCCTGGGCCCGGCTCAGAGCTTTCTGCAGGATGCGGGGGGCCCCTGGGCCCAGCTCAGAGCTCTCTGCGGGATGCGGGGGCCCCTGGGCCCGGCTCAGAGCTTTCTGCGGGATGTGGGGGCCCCTGGCCCCGGCTCAGAGCTTTCTGCGGGATGCGGGGGGGCCCTGGCCCCGGCTCAGAGCTCTCTGCCGGACGCAGGGGCTCAGTGCTCTCTCGTGCCAGGCGGAGGTGGTCGATGGCCCGGATGAAAACGGCGAGATGTTCACGCGCCCAGGCAAGCTCTCCGATTACTTCCCCAAGCCCTACCCCAACCCTGAGGCGGCGCGAGCGGCCAACAACGGGGCGCTGCCCCCAGACCTGAGCTACATCACCAGCGCCAGGTGAGGCTCCCTCGGGTGGGACTGCGGCTGAGCAGCTGGTATCCGGGGAGGAGCGCAGTGCCTGGCCCGCTGGGCCAGGTCTCCCAGATGTGCTGGAGCAGTGCATGCTGGGGCTCCCATGTGCAGATGGTGCTGGGGACAAGCTGAGTCCAGGTGGGTGCTCTGTCCTGCTGGCCCTGAGCACCCCCAGTGAGGCCTAGCACACCCCCCCACTCCCCTGCCCAGCCGGCAGGAGAATCAGAGCTCCTTCCAGCCCCTCCCGCTTCCTCCCCCATCTCAGGGTGTCAGCGACCGTCGGCGGCCGGGATTCCACAGGCGCCTGCCAGGGGCCCATCGCCCCGGCCTGGGGGGAGCAGGGCAGCCGCACAGCCTGGCTGCTCTGGCCTGGGGACGGCTGGGTCTCAGCCAGGGCCTGTGATCTCACCTGGTCTTGTCTTTCAGGCACGGGGGTGAGGACTATGTGTTCTCCCTCCTCACCGGCTACTGTGACCCACCCACTGGGGTGTTCATCAGGGAAGAGCTGCACTACAACCCCTACTTCCCGGGGCAGGCCATCACCATGGCGCCCCCCATCTACAACGAGATCCTGGAGTTCGAGGACGGTAAGAGGCGCTCTGTGCTGGGAGGCCCCCCATCCCCCCAAGCCAGCCTGCTGCAGGGCTCCTGTCCCAGGGCGGGGCCCTGTCCAGCCAGGCTGGCCCCAACCTGCTCTTGGCGCGGGGCACCCGCAGACCCCGCTCTCGGCCCAGGCGCGTGGTGCAGGGCACCTGCTGACTCTGCTCTCTCCCAGGGACCCCAGCCACCATGTCCCAGATAGCGAAAGACGTGTGCACGTTCCTGAGGTGGGCAGCGGAGCCGGAGCACGATCACCGCAAGCGCATGGGAATGAAGGTCAGTGCCTGCCCCCCATGGCGCTGAGGAGAGGGGCTCCTCTCTGGGGGGCCTGGGGCCGGTGGAGTGCCCTGGACTGGAGGGAGGAGCCCAGCCTGAGCTGCTGGCAAGGCTGGGCATGTCTGAGCGATTCCTGCCGGCCCTCGCCCTGGCCAGCGCGTCAGGTCCATGCACTGCTGGGGGAAGGTGCTCGGAAGCAGGGCAGGGCCTAACTCCTTCCCTTCCCTTCCCAGATGCTGCTGATGATTGGCCTCCTGGCACCCCTTTGCTACTACCTGAAGCGCCACAAGTGGTCTGTACTAAAGAGCAGGAAAATCGCGTACCGGCCCCCCAAGTAAGCATTGGATCACAGCAGGCCGCCCCGCGGGCCTTGGCCACCCAGCCGCCGCACGACCCCTCCCGGGACAGGAATGTACGTAGAGCTGGACGGACAGACGGGTACAGCCCACTCCTCATGACGCGTTTCTCTTATTTAATGTCCTCTCCCTCGGACACAGCTGCTCGCCTGCTAGGCCTGGGAACGGACTCTGGGAAGGGGGGGGCGGCTGCTGTCTGCACACGCCCGCTGGGGGGCAGAAATAAACCTTCAATCTTCAGTGGGAAAGTGTGGTGTGGTGTGTCGGCCTAGGCCCTGCCCACGGGGCCCTCGCCTTCCCCTGCCCCGTCTCTGTCCCGCCCCAGCTCCCTGCCTGGGGGGAACCCAGTACAGCCAGAGGGGAAGGCCTGTGTGTAATGGTGGCATTTATTAAACGGTTCTGTTCCCCGAGCAGTGTCTGTCTGAGTTGTGTGGGGGCCAGCGGGGGACCCAGCACTCCCTTTATTGAGGGAGGTGCTGGTAGAGGCTGCTTCCTGACCCCCCCCACGTGGCAGTGGGGAGGGGCCCCACTCCCTCCCTCAGACTTCATGGAGAGCAGCCCCCTCCCTCTTCCCAGCATGCTGCAGGGAGTGGCACTGCACAAAGGCCTGGCTGGGGTCCTCAGTGCCCCTCCCCTTGCAGTGGGGGGTGGGGCAGGTCAGTTACCCCAGCTCTTAGCCACTGCCTCTAGCATTGCAGGGGCTCAGTGCCCTACGGCCTGGGCAGAGGGGGCCAGTTGCTGCCCCTGTGCCTCCAACAGATGTGTGTTGCTGTGCAGGGGGGCTGACTGCCTCCCCAGAGCCAGACCAGCCTAGCTGGCACTGGCCCCATCTCCATGAGCTGGCCTGGGGTGGCACTGCCCAGCCAGCTGCTGGATTCCTGCAGGAGCAGCCAGGCTGGGGGCGGCACCGTTCACAGCCTGCGCTGCTCAAAGGCGCAGAGGGCCCAGCTGGGGCCTTTTCTCCCCCCTGCACTGTCCACAGCCCTGGGGCTGCTTCCTGCTCGAGGGCAGCCCACGCCCGCCCTCAGGAGGTTAATCCTTCAAGGAGTCTGGCCGTGAGCTGGGCAGTGCCAGGCTGCCCCCAACAGCTCAGCCCGAGGAGTGAGAGGGAGGCCAGCCTGGAGCAGCCTGTGCTGGACTGGGGCGTCTCTGCCCCCTGCAGCCCAAGGAACCTCCCAAGGCAGGTGTGGGGAACAGCTGGCCTCTGTAACACCGCTCGCCCCCTGAGGTGGTTACGGGGAGCTCCCTGTGTCTGGGGAGGCACTCAACAGCCACAGGACGGGGTACAGGGCACGTGAAGGCGAGGCCCAGGTTACATTGCAGGGGGGCTGAGGAGCTCTCTATACCAGCAGCATTCCCGCAATTACCCCAGCCCTGCTTAGCCCCAGCAGCACTAATGGAGCCCTGGGGCCAGGCAGGTGCAGAGGCAGCTGCTGCTCTGGGAGCCTGACACCAAACAGCTCCCACCCCGACCTGGCCAGGGGGCAGAGACAGGCCCAGCAGGAAGACGGCCCTGGGCCAGACTGAGTGGGGGGGAGCCCCCTCAAGGCACTGCACGCAGCTGGCAAGGGCTGGAAGCTCCCGCAGGAGCAGAGCACCTGCCTGACCGGGGCTGGAGGCTGCCGAGTGGGGGAGGCCCAGGCGCCGCGCAGGGAGCGCGCTCAGTGGCAGTTCTGGCAGTGCGGGTGACACCTCTGCCCATTGACGTTACAGCGACATCCTCCACTGGTGTCACCAGGGCCCTGGAGGGGAGGAGAGTGAGTCAGAGAGGTGGGGGTGGGGGATGGACAACAGAGATACCTGCAGCATCTCCCCACCTCTCCATGGGGGCTGCATCCAAAGGCGAGGAGCCCGAGCCAGCTGATCCCCTCCGGCCCCCGGGAGCAGCATGTCAGGGGAGGGGAGGGGAGGCTGCTGCTCCCGCATCCACACGAGCCTCAGGGCTCCATCCAGTCGGAGGAGTGGGGGCACCCCCTGTTCTGCCTGGCTCCAGGGGCTGCTCCCCTCCTGCCCAGAGCCAACGATTCTAGCCCACGCTCCGTCTTCTAGCAGCTAGGGCAGAGCCTCGGGAAGCTGAGCCCCATGGCTTGGCAGGGGGCCAGGTCAGCTTTCCCCTGCCTGGCACAGTAGCTCACAGGAGGGGAAATCTCCCTCTAGAGCCAGGGGAAGGGGCAGCCACGCAGCCTGCTCCTTGCACAACCTGCTATTCCCCAACCATGGCCCAGTTCCCCCCACATGAGCTCCTGGGGGGGGGGGGGGGGCAGCAGAGGGGCTGAGGCCCAGCCTGGGAGGCGGGGGCAGTTCCCTGCCCGGGGGCAGGTGCTCGGGAGCCAGGGCTGCCTGTCCTGTGACCGCTCACCGCAGGCCCCCAGCGTGGCCCTTTGGTCACCCAGCAAATCTCCGTCTGGCAGACGGTGCAGCGGATCCAGTCGCAGCCGTCCTTCTTCTGCACGATGATCTGGCACACGGGGCAGTGCATGGCCTCGCCCGTCTGCACCAGTGTCTGTGGGCGGGAGGCAGCCGTTAGGGGAGACATGCACCCATCTTGGGATCCCCACTGCCCCACGGCCACTGCTGGCAAAGGCCCAACCCTGGCTGCACTACAAGGCCAGACAGCACTGAGCAAGACACGAGCCTGGGAACCTGCACGGAACCAAGGAGACCTGCAGAAGGGAGCCCACGAGCAGGGGGCTGTGGGTCAGGACCCTGGGGAATTGGCAGAGCTGGGGGGAGCCCAGGGCTGGACAAGCAGGGGCTGTGGGTTGGGATGAGGGGTGTTGGGGGAGGGGGGAGCCCAGGGCTGGACAAGCAGGGAGCTGGGGGTTGGGATGAGGGGTGTTGGGGGAGGGGGGAGCCCAGGGCTGGACAAGCAGGGAGCTGGGGGTTGGAATGAGGGGTGTTGGCAGAGCCAGGGCTGGGCTAGCAGGGGGCTGCAGGTCAGGATTGAGGGGTGTCAGCGGAGCTGGGGGGAGCCCAGGGCTGGACAAGCAGGGGCTGTGGGTTGGGATGAGGGGTGTTGGGGGAGGGGGGAGCCCAGGGCTGGGCTAGCAGGGGGCTGCAGGTTGGGATTGAGGCATGTTGGCAGAGCTGGGGGAGGGAGGAACCCAGGGCTGGACAAGCAGGGGCTGTGGGGAGTCCAGGGCTGGGAGTGGGGCTGGGAACTGCTAGCCCTGTTTTACAGGTGGGGCACAAGACCATACAGCGAATCCATGCCAGAGCCAGGCAGAGCCCCTAGGTGTCCTGGTGCTCTCCTGTGCTGGGGCCGATGCCCGGGGACGCGCTCTCACCTGCAGCATGTCGCTGGTCTGCTGGGCAGCAGTGTCATTGTGGGCCTGGAGCTGCAGGTTGTCCTGGTACTGGCGGCAGTCCTTCCCCTCGTGGATGACCTGGTGGGGATGAGAGTGGCAGCAATCAGCCCCCCCGGCCCTGCAGCAGCTGCTGGGTGAGTAGGCACTGGGCCGGCTGGGAGCCCCGCACAGGTCCCAGCTGGCCTGGCACTGCGCCAAGAGCCCCTGGCTATGGTGCTTGGGGTGGGAGCTTGGCTGGGCTTTGACCCCGGGGCAAGGGCCAATCCCCTCTCAGGCGCCGGGGCCCCCTCTGCAGGGGTACAGAGCTCTCCCAGCCACAGGGCAGGACCCAGGGCTTGGCTATTGAGTGACTCGCCCCCTGCCCCAGCAACGCTGCAGCCCTTGGTTCTGCTCAAGCCTTCCCCCAGCACCTACACCTCAGCCCCCCTCCCTCCCCACGGTCACCTCCTCCCACGCTGCCCCCTGCCCCGGAGCAGCCTCCCCCGGCCTCCCGCCCCCAAATCCTGATGGGCCCCTGGGATGAAATAGGAATTGTTTGTATAATTTTATGATGCCTGTGTGTGCCTCAGTTTCCCTCTGCATCGCTCCCCAGTGGAGGAAGAGGGTTACGGCTGCTTGTGGGGGGCAGCACAGAAAACAGGGTGGGGGTGGGGCCTGGCTGTCTGGGCCAGGAACTGGACCTGCTGGGAGCGACCCCATCTCAATGCAGAATCCCCCAGAGAGACTAGGAAGCCCAGCATCTAACCAACCAACCAACGACTCAGAGGAAGGCGGCGTCCCCCACCACTCAGCAGGGACATGGGGCGGAGACCCCAGCTTGAGGCCAAAGGACGAGCCATGAGCAGCAGGGGATGAAGCCTGGGGGCTCTCCAGGGACAGACTGACGAGGTCAGAGACACAGAGCCTGGGACGCAGCCACTCCAGCTTGGCTGGCCGATTGCTCCGGCTCGGCAGACGGACGATGCTTTTACCTTCAGTTCTCTGTGCTGAGCTAGGGCCGGCCAGGCCCTGGCCAAGCTGACTAGTAAACCCTGCGCGGTTTGGAACCGCGGCCGGCCGGGTGTCGCTGCAAACGCTGGCTGGTGCACCCGTCCCTGCAGAGCGGACGTGTCTGTCTCAGTGCGACCTGCAGGCCAGTGCTCCCAGCATGACACAGCAGAGCTGGAGCCCCCCAGGGGCTCAGTCCAGGAGGTGGTCAGACTGCTTCCCCCCCGAAGGAGGAGTGGGACCCGCTGGGGGACCCCATCACACTGAAAGGTGCCTCCAAGGGACTGTTCCCAAGCAGGGGCGTAACACAGAGCCTGTGGCTCCCCGGCGGTCCCAGAATCCTGAGATCACAAACCCCGCTGCATTAGGAATCAAGTCGTGGCACTTTTTGCCCAACAGACGGCGCTGGCGTGTTGTGTGGGAAGCCCCCGGCTTTGCCCAGTCGGAGTGGCACAGTGTCCCGGTTTCACAGCCGTATGGAGGGGGTACAGCTCGACTAGATCCTGAACATGGTTGTCGTGCCGAGAGGCCCGTGGCAGACGCGGCGATGCCAAGCCGGCGCAGAACTTCCGTGTGAGTGGGAGGATCCGGCGAGTATTGAACCCAAAGAGCAAAAGCTGGAGCCTGCTTCGATAGACGTAACAGGGATGTTTACGGTCGCTCTGGCTACAGACTCCTGGGGCCATGGTCTACAGACGGCGCCTTTTCAGACCTGTCGCGAGAATGCCGCAAGACGTCCCGGAAAACGCCGTTCTCTGGCAGCTCGTAACATCCGGGATAAAATTCCACCAGCCGAGGGGTGGAGGTGGCCCAGAGGCTGACCCGTGATGGGGGGGCATCGAGTCTGTTCTGACGCTTGCGGCCGCCCAGGTACGGACCAAATGGCGAATGATCGGTACAGCCAACCGCTCGGCTAAGCGCCGAGGAGAAACCCTCCAGTCCTGACTTTTCATCTGGCTTTTGCCTTTGCCACTCCTCTGCCAGCCGGGGGGAGAAGTTCAGGTTGAAATGCCAACTGCCAATGCCCACAGCCGTGCCCGTCTCTCCCCCCGGCCAGCTGGCACCTCTGCTTACCCTCTCCCAGGCCGGAGCCAGGGGAACTGCCGGCCGTCTCCCAGCACTGGCCGGCCTTCCCCTCCCGCTTAGTCCTGTGATAAGAGCCAGGCTGGACGGTAACTAGCTGGGAACCGCCAGCCTCCCGCCGCAGCACCATGGCCCTGCCCCCATCCCGCCCCCACTGCTCTAGGCCCCCTCCCCTTCCCCTCCCTATCCTCCATGCTGCCCCCACTGCTCCAATCTCCCTCCACTCCCCTCCTCTCCCCCTGTCCTGCCCCCACTGTTTCAAGAACGGCCACACTGGGTCAGACCAAAGGTCCATCTAGCCCAGTATCCTGTCTACCGACAGTGGCCAATGCCAGGTGCCCCAGAGGGAATGAACAGAACAGGGAATCATCAAGTGATCCATCCCCTGTCGCCCATTCCCAGCTTCTGGCAAACGGAGGCTAGGGATACCATCCCTGCCCATCCTTGCTAATAGCCATTGATGGACCTATCCCCTGTGAATTTATCTAGTTTCTTCTTGAACCCTATTAGTGTCCTGGCCTTCACAACATCCTCTGGCAAGGAGTTCCACAGGTTGACTGTGCATTGTGTGAAGAAATACTTGCTTTTGTTTGTTTTAAACCTGCTGCCTGTTACTTTCACTGGGTGACCCCTAGTTCTTGTGTTATGTGAACGGGTAAATCACACTTCCTTATTTATTTCCTCCACGCCACTCATAATTTTACAGACCTCAATCATATCCCCCCTTAGTTGTCTCTTTTCCAAGCTGTTGCCCTGTTCTGAAACTTTTCCAATTCCAATGTATCTTTTTTTGAGATGGGGCGACCACATCTGCACACAGTATTCAAGGTGTGGGCGTATCATGGATTTATATAGAGGCAATATGATATTTTCTGTCTTATTATCTATCCCTTTCTTAATGATTCCCAACATTCTGTTCGCTTTTTTGACTGCCGCTGCACATTGAGTGGATGTTTTCAGAGAACTATCCACGATGACTCCAAGATCTCTTTCCTGAATGGTAACAGCTAATTTAGACCCCATCATTTTATATGTATAGTTGGGATTATGTTTTCCAATGTGCATTACTTTGCATTTAGCAACACTGAATTTCATCTGCCATTTTGTTGCTCAGACACCCAGTTTTGGGGGATCCTTTTGTAGCTCTTTTCTGCTTTGGACTTAACTATCTTGAGCAGTTTTGTATCATCTGCAAATTTTGCCACTTCACTGTTTACCCCTTTTTCCAGATTATTTATGAATATGTTGACTAGGACTGGGCCCAGTACAGACCCCTGGGGGACACCACTATTTACCTCTCTCCATTCTGAAAACTGACCATTTATTCCTAACCTTTGTTTCCTGTCATTTAACCAGTTACCAATCCATGAGAGGACCTTCCCTCTTATCCCATGACAGCTTACTTTGCTTAAGAGCCTTTGGTGAGGGACCTTGTCAAAGGCTTTCTGAAAATGTAATACACTATATCCACTGGAGCCCCCTTGTCCACATGCTTGTTGAGTTCTCTGGACCCCCACTCCTCACCCTACCCCTGCTCCGGAAGCCCCGCCCCTCCCCTCCATCCTGCCCCAAATCTCCAAACCCCCCTCCTCTTTTCTCTCCCCCCATCCTACCCCCACTGCTGCAGGCCACCCTCCCCATCCCCCCCATCCTGCCCCCACTGCTCCAGCCCCCCCTGCACTTCCCTCCCGAACCCCCTACTCTGCTGCCCCCTGCTCTGGTCTCCTGCTGCTCTGTGTGTGGCCCTGGTGCGAGCACTGCTGGAATCCTGGGGCCAGTTCTGATGTCCACAATTCACGAAGGATGGTGATACATTGGGGAGGGTCAGAGAAGAGCCACAGGAAGGATGAAAGGGTTAGAGACCTGCCATAGAGCGAGAGACTCAGGGAGCTCCATGTGTTTCACGTAACGAGGGGCAGGTGAAGGGGCGCCTTGATCCCAGTCGGTACGTACCCCCGTGGGGAACAGAGATTTGATCACAGGCTCTTCAGTCTAGCAGGAAAAGCCAATGGCTGGACGTTGAAGCCAGACACGTTCACACTGGAAATAGGACGTAGGTTTTTAACGGCGAGGAATTAACCATTGGAGCAATTTCTCAAGGCTCATGGTGGATGGTTTTAAATGCAGACGGGCTGTTTGTCTGACAGCTCGGCGCTGGGGATGATTGGGGGCCATTCCCAGGCCCGTGCGAGGCAGGAGGTCACTAGAGGAGCACAATGGTCTCTGCTGCAGCCTACAGAAACGACACTCCCAGCATGCATTGCTCCATCCTGCTCCGCAGGGCCTGGCTGCTGGAGCACTGCGCGCTGCAGACTCCAAGGGACGGCGGCAGCAGCAGCAGCAGGCGGGGCAGTGCTGCGGAGCCCCATGTCCTGCCCCCCAGCCCTCCCCCGCAGGGCCCCCGGGGCTCACCTTGCAGAGCAGGCAGTTCAGGCCCTGGCAGATGGGGCAGCGGAACTCATTGACCGTGTCCTCGTAGATGCACCAGCCCTTGCAGTCCGGGGTTTTGCAGTGATAGCTGTTCTGGGTGCGTCTCTCCGCCGCCACCAGGCCCCGCTCCAGGAACCGCTTGTACTCCTCTGCTGACACCAGCTGTGGGCACAGAGCCCCGGGGAGGTCACGCCACTGCTGGCCATGCCCACCCCATGGCAGAGCCGCCAGGGGACAGGGATAGGCTGCAGGGGCCCCTTCTGGAAGCTCTGCCTTGACAGAGGGTGGCTGTGGGGCAGGGGCTATCTGAGGAGGTGCTGGCCTGGCTTAAGTGTGCAGGTCCCCAAGATCCAAAGGGGGCCAAGCCTCTGGGATCTGATGGGAGGTCAGAGCGTCCCAGCAGGTCCCTGGCTCCCTGCCATCTGTCTGATAACATTTACCCCACTCCCCCCATCTCCCGCTGTGCCTCACCCTGAGCGCCGGGGCTGGTCCTAGGGAACAAGCCGAGATCCCTGCCCCACAGCCGCCCGCCCGCCCACCCACCCGCTGGGGCCTGCAGGCCAGCTCTTGGGAGCTGGAGCCCCCCTTACCCACTGCAGGGACTCACCGCCCGGACCTCCCGTTCCTGGAGCTTGCTGCTGCAAGCGTAGGTGTCGTCGCGGAAGGGGCAGGACACCTGGAGTTCCTGGCTGTAGCTGATCACCTGCTGCAGGCAGTCTCTGTGGGGACAGGGGGCAGTCACCCCAGAGAAGCCCTCCCCTAACCCAGCAGCTGCAGCCCCACAGTCTGAGCTCTCGGCCCCCGCAGCCCCGTGAGGGCCCAAAGCCTGGCTCAGCCTCAGGCTCCCAGCACCTGGGCCTCAGGAATGGAGTCCGAGCGCTGCATGGCAGGGACCAGGGAATGGACACCCGGGGGGAGCTGGTGGCTCCGGACCAATCCCACCTTCTCCATCCCCCTGCTCTGCAGCAGTCTCTGCCTCGCGGTGCCGACACGCTGTGGCTTGGGGGTGCAGGCTGGGCCGCCGTACCTGCAGAAGTTGTGCAGACACTCCCGGAGCAGCACCCCGTCCCCTGGTGCCATGGGCAGGTAGCAGATCCGGCACTCCATGGCCTCCTGGCTGGGCACCAGCGCCTCCTCCTCCAGCTGCAGCAACTGCTGGAAGTTCTGCAGACGCTCGTCCTCCAGGGCCTGCAGAACAGAGCCAGAGAGAGGTCAGGGGGGCAAGGAGCTCCCCCCAAGAGGGGCCAGGCCGCCCAGTGGGATGGGGGCGCTCCCCCCGAGAGGGGCCAGGCTGCCCAGTGGGATGGGGGCGCTCCCCCCGAGAGGGGCTAGGCTGCGCTGCCCAGCGGGATGGGGGCGCTCCCCCAGAGAGGGGCCAGGCCGCCCAGCGGGGCCCCAGAGCTCCCCCTGAGAGGGACCAGGCTGTGCTGCCCAGCGGGATGGGGGCGCTCCCCCCGAGTGGGGCCAGGCTGCGCTGCCCAGTAGGATGGGGGCGCTCCCCCCGAGAGGGGCCAGGCCGCCCAGAGGGATGGGGGCGCTCCCCCCGAGAGGGGCCAGGCTGCGCTGCCCAGCGGGATGGGGGCGCCCCCCCCGAGTGGGGCCAGGCTGCGCTGCCCAGCAGGATGGGGGCACTCCCCCCGAGAGGGGCCAGGCCGCCCAGCGGGATGGGGGCGCTCTCTGCCCAGTCCCTGGGGCAGGCCCATTTCAAATGTGCATTTTTGCTCCCACAGGTTCACTGAACTTAGGGCCTGAAGGGATCACGGTGGCCATCCAAGCCTTGGGCATCACCCGGCCAGAGCCCTCCCCCAGTCACTCCCGCATGCAGCCCGTGCCTCCTGCCAAAGGCAGCCGGTCGGAAGCGGCGGTGGGGAGAATTCAGATGCTTCCAGTCAGGCTCTTTGCACTTCTTAATCTCAGACAATAAGCGCATTTCTCAGCTTGGGGGGGCTCCCCACTCCAGGGCCAGCCTGGGGCCTGGAGAAGCTGAGTCTCAGCTGGACTGGACCGAACAGGCCCCAGAGGCAGCTGAAGAAGCCAGAGGTGCTCAGGAAGAAAAGCGTTCTCTGGCTGCGGCTGCCGGGAAAGAACCAATTAGCCAAGGGGAAGACTCCAGGGCTCCTGGTCCAGGCTGCAGAAGGCAGATGAGGCACTGCAGGAGGAGGCATGCCAGAAGCAGGATCTCAGGGCTGGGTGAAACACAGAGGCTGAGAAGAGCCACAGCGGAGAGCAGCTAATAAAGGAAAGGAGAAAAAGGGGAACCCGGAGAACCCGATTTCTGCTCTTTCCCAGCGGGCAGCTCCAGAATAACGAAAGCCCGAGGCTGCAATGGCTCCGGCAAAGCACGGCAGTAGGTAGGCAGCAGCAGAAAATCTCCACCTCGGAAGAGAGGTGGAAAGAGCTGGAGTTGCCACTAGCTGAGAAGACCCTCCCTGCCCAGTCCACGGGGGAACATGCCTGTGCTCAGGCAGAGGCTAGGAGAAGATGATACAGGCCTTCTCCCAGAGCAGAGCAGGGAAGGAAGCTTTGGACCAGCAGGGGAGCTGCAGCAGCCCCTCAATAGTGACGGGTGGGGGTCAAGGACTCACTTAGAGACAGCCCGGCAGCCACACCAGGGAAATGGCCCCGAGGGCAGAGGAAGCCGCAGGGCAGAGAATGCTGGCCCTGAGCTGAGCACCGGAGCACACAGGGATGTACAGCGCAGCTGTGAGGCTGGGCTCAGCACTAAAGCAGCAAGGGACCAAAAGGGACTCTGGGAGACTGTTTCAAAGAAGGTACGTGGAGGCCTCCAATGGAATAGGTGTCCCACAGTGCAAACGGGGAGACTGGGCAAGGGAGGTGTGGCCCCGCAGCCAGACTGGAGAGATCAGAGAGAAGGGTTATTGTGGCTGATGAGAACTGGGCTGAAGTCCTCTCTCAAAAACAGGAGAATGAGCAGCAGCTGCAAGAGAAGAAGCTGTCCAAGCTCCTGTGACGATGGTGCCCGTGGGAGCCAGCTGAGGTCACTCAATTAGGGTGAACTGCAAACAAAACGGGGCAGACAAATCGCAAACGCTGGTGGATATTCCAATACTTAGATTTACCAACCAGCACAAAACAGTTTCTGTAGTACCTCACTGGTTACTCAGAAGTCCAAACAACGCAGTTCCCTTAAAGTGCCCAGCCTCAGGCCTCCGTCAGACACACCTGTCAGATATGATGATGATTACTGAAAATCTGATCTCATCATATAAAAGAAAAGGTTCTTCCAACCCCAAAGGATCAGCCACACACCCAGGTCCAATTATAACTTAGGTCTTGCCCAAAATACACGCTTAGAGCCAATTCTTATTAACTAAACTAAAATTTATTAAAAAAGAAAAGTGTTGGTTAAAAGATCAATATACAGACAGACTTGAATTCAACTCTTGAGTTCAGATACATAGCAGAGATGAGCTTGTAGTTGCCAAAAGTCCTTTTAGAAATAGTCCATAGGTTATAGTCCAATGTCCATATTCAGAGTGGCTCCAGTCAGTGACTGGGGATCTCAATCCTTATGGCTTAAGGTTTCCCCCCCCCCATGAAACCCAAAGCAGATCTGAGATGAAGCAGGATCGTGTCCCAGGGTTTTTATACATTTCCAGCAGCCTTTCGGCCTGAGAAAACAATAGGCTTAACTCTCCTTCTCTCAAACATCCTGGCAATTAGCACAGGGTAATTTATCCATTACACAGTTCAGATACAGGTACCACAACCTTCAAAGAGACACAGAGATAATAATACTATTTCACTCAAGTGTCTTCCTAAATACTAATACTTCTTTTTTGATCTTTGAATTAAAGCTATAGCAATAGACCAGACTTGTTTGCTTACATCACAAGACCTGAGCAAACACCTCCCCTTCTACCTCTAACAATGCCAGCTGCATTTCAAAGCTCTGTTCATTTACAGATCTTCCTAACCAGTCTCTAAAGTTCGGCCCTGGGTCAGGTCAGTCTGTGAGTTAATTAACTCTTTCTGGCCCTGTCACCTTCCAACGAGATATTATATCACACTCAACATCACAGCTCCACACTGAAATCCTCCTGCAGAGCCAGTCCATTGCAGAGAAGAGGGGCAGCTGGAGGGCCAGGTGGCTGCCGTAAGGGAAAAATCTGAGCTCTGGGGTGTTTGCCAAGGAGGGGCTGTGCTGCAAGGCAGGTCAGCTGACAAAGGGGAGCCCCATTACACAGCTGATACAGATGCAGGGATCACATAGCAGGAGGCAAAGCCCCCTTCCTGCGGTAGGACTGTGGAAGCCTAGGGAACATCAAAGACCAAGAGGTCTAACGCACCAGGCAAGAAGGGCAGGCTCAGCCCATGCCCGGGGTCCGTGGGTGGAGGCGGGAGGGCGCTGGGGTTTGCATGTTGTGCAAACATTAGGGCTTATGCCTGTGCTTGACACTATGGAGGGGGGGAGAAAATGAAGACCCAAGCATCTGCCTCCAATTAACTGCTCCTCTCCGATACTGCTGGTGTGGGCAGGGCCTGTATACACCAGAGCCAACTCACTGCAGCGAGAGAGGAGGCTGAAGGCGCACCAAGGGGAAAACCGCTCCAGAAAGGGGCAGGAGAGACGATCACCTTGAAAAGGGGCTGAGTTTGGGGAGCGCTGGCTCCAGGCTGGGACCTGCCTCCCTAACCACCTGGGGTGTGGGTGGTCAGGCCCACTGGTTGAAATAAGAGTTTGGCTACCAGGTAGAGCTGGCTCCAGGGTGGGCAGAGCCCTGGAACAAGCCGAGGGTCAGGGCCGGAGGGACAGAAGCCAAATTAGTCCACCTGGACTATAAGGTGGATAGAAAGCTGGTTAGATCGTTGGTCTCAACGGGTAGTGATCAATGGCTCCATGTCTAGTTGGCCAGTATCAAGCAGAGTGCTCCAGAAGTTGGTCCTGGGGCTGGTTTTGTTCAACATCTTTATTAATGATCTGGAGGATGGCGTGGACTGCACTCTCAGCAAGTTCGCGGATGACACTAAACCAGGGGGAGAGGTAGATACGCTGGAGGGTAGGGATAGGATACAGAGGAACCTAGACAAATTGGAGGATTGGGCCAAAAGAAATCAGATGAGGTTCAACAAGGACAAGTGCAGAGTCCTGCACTTAGGATGGAAGAATCCCATGCACTGCTACAGACTAGGGACCGACTGGCTAAGCGGCAGTTCTTCAGAAAAGGACCTGGGGATTACAGTGGACAAGAAGCTGGATATGAGTCAGCAGTGTGCCCTTGTTGCCAAGAAGGCTAACGGCATATTGGACTGCATTAGTAGGAGCATTGCCAGCAGATTGAGGGAAGTGATTATTCCCCTCTATTCGGCACTGGTGAGGCAACATCTGGAGTATTCCGTCCAGTTTGGGGCCCCCCACTACAGAAAGGATGTGGACAAATTGGAGAGAGTCCAATGGAGGGCATCAAAAATAATCAGGGGTCTGGGGCACATGACTTATGAGGAGAGGCTGAGGGAACTGGGCTTGTTTAGTCTGCAGAAGAGAAGAGTGAGGGGGGATTTGATAGCAGCCTTCAACTACCTGAAGGGGGGGTTCCAAAGAGGATGGATCTAGACTGTTCTCAGTGGTGACAGATGACAGAACAAGGAGTAATGGTCTCAAGTTGCAGTTGGGGAGGTCTAGGTTGGATATTAGGAAACACTATTTCACTAGGAGGGTGGTGAAGCACTGGAATGGGTTCCCTAGGGAGGTGGTGGAATCTCCTTCCTTAGAGGTTTTTAAGGCCCGGCTTGACAAAGCTCTGGCTGGGATGATTTAGTTGGGAATTGGTCCTGCTTTGAGCAGGGGGTTGGACTAGATACCTCCTGAGGTCCCTTCCAACCCTGATATTCTATGATTCTATGATTCAAATGCCAGAGCCGGAGGGTTAACCAGAGTCATAAGCCAGAGGCGGAGCCGCTGCTTTAGGGGCTGTGATCACTCTCAGTTCCAAACAGGGCAGCTGGGCTCATCGGTGGCCTAGCAGGAAGCTAGTCAGGGAGCCAGCCAGCAGCTATCCCAGCTGCTCTGGCTCCTGCCTGCCCAGGACCCTGCAGCTTTATGGGGAAACGGGACTGAAGACGTGGGGTGTGTCCGTGTTTAGTTGATCAGCCGCCTGGAGCAAGGCCTCCTGCGCTCTGGTGTCCTTTCCCCTGGGGCCGGCCGGCCTCCTGGCCCACCAGGCAAC